GTCAGGATAGCCATGGATTTGCCTAGAAAACCCCAGAAGGCCAGTGTATCACAGCTACTGCTATGACAATATGCCATCAATGATGTTTGTTATAAGCTTCTTTCTTCTTCCTCTTGCTGTCTGCACAGAAAATCTCCCAAGAAAACTTTAGAAGGCGTTTTAACTTGTCTCAGATCTTTAGAGGAGCAGATCTTGGAAGAGCTTTCCTGTGGACTTTTGAAGACTATCAGTTCTATTGGAAGTGCTGATGAAAAACTGAATTAAAATGGAAAAGATAGCAATAAAATATGATGCAACAGGAAGAAACAGCGACATTGTGAGACTTCTTTTTTAAAAATCCACTCTTCAAAGATGCCATTATTTGTGCAGAATAATTTCCCTAACATATTCCAAGTCTTTTTTTTCCTTTTTTCTTTCTTTTTTTTTTCCCTCTGGTTGTGGGGTTCGAACTCAGGGCCTGCGTACTGTCCCTGAGCTCTTTGGCTCAAGGCTAGTGTTCTACTGCTTTGAGTTATAGATCCATTTTCAGTTTTTGAGTGGTTAATTGGAGATAAGAATTTTGCAGGGACTTTTCTGCCTGGACTGGCTTTGAACTGCAGTGCTCAGATCTTAGCCTCCTGAGTAGCTGGATTACAGGTGTGAGCCATCAGCACCCGCCTTGCTTTTTTGTTCATGGAATACAATACCAGATTAAGTACTACAGATGGGCAAGTACCTCCATCAAGAAAATGAGCCATGAGAGATCCATGAATTATAAGAGAGTATCATTTTACAGTAGACTCATAAACAAAATCTTGGGCCTTGGTGAGATGTTTGGTTCCAAGCATCATGCTTTGCATACATGGTCATAAATGAATGCAGCAGTCAAATTGGACTCATAACCTGTGTAGCCCAGAAACTAGGAATGAGTTTGCATTTTTAAGTTGGGAACAAAGTCAGAAGAGAAAACAGTGTATTTCGTAGCTTTTGAAAGGTCTATGCAATTCAAATTTTTGTTTTCATCAACTCTAATGGGAACATGGTTACAAACGTTGGTTACCCATTGCTCTGACAATGGCAAAGTTAAGTGGGTGAGAAAGTAAAAAAAAAATATTGACTGTCAGATTCTTTATAAGAATAATTGCTGACCTGTAGCCTAGAAGAGTGTTTCATAGTCTCTGGTTAAATCGACTGAAAAGGACATCAATGTTATTGCTCATGTCTGATACTTGGAAGCTGAGTAAACTCAATTGAACCATTTAACTGTCGGTGCCTTCTCATTAGAGCAGAGATAAAAATGTTCATAGGTTTATTTTAGGATGAACAATATAATGATTGTAAAATATGGATTCAAACAAAGAATGTTTTCTCTTCAGGTTAATTATAGTTGACATATTTTGATTAAATACTCTTGCATGTTAAATTAAGTGGCTTCCAAGTGGGTTCATAAAATAGGATTAAAGTTATTAATAATACTAATGATTAAAATGAATGGATGCGGGCTGGGAAGGTGGCTCAGTGGTAGAGCGCTTGCCTTGCATGCCTGAGGCCCTGGGTTCGATTCCTCAGCACCACATAAGCAAAAAGAAAAAAAGCCGGAAGTGGCGCTGTGGCTCAGGTGGGCTAGCCTTGAGCTGAAGAGCTGAGGGATAGTGCCCAGGCCCAGAGTTCAGGCCCCACGACAGGACCCAAAAAAAAAAAAAAAATGAATGGATGCGAAAAATGATTCCATGGAGAATAAGTTGTGGCCTATTTGCTAACATTGCATAGTTTCTCGATTTTTTTTTCACAGTTAAACTTAGCTGTTCCCCACAGGGATCATTCACACTGTGAAACTTCCAAGTCAAGTAAATAACTTTGCCATGCACCAACCCAACCATCTACTTTGAATGCATTCTCATTAGTGAGTATTAAGTGTTGCAGTGAGGAGTGTATAGCTCTTAAAACAACATAAAAATAATTGGATAAATTGGCCTATTTTGTAGCAAAAATAATAGTCTTGCTTTGAATTCTGATTACACTATGGAAGTGTTTCATTTCTTTTTTTATTTACTGTATTTTTTGTCTTTTCTTTTTTGGTACTGGGGAAGTGTCATTTCCTGAAGAAAGGAAAATCTCCAGTTCCTTGTATCAATGTTGATATATATGTGTCTTTTACATGTTTGTCTTGCTAGGCAGATTTGGAATTAGGCAAAGTAAGAAATTATGTAGCTCAGATATAAAACTTAAGAGGAACCCAAACAAAACCAAACGAAAAAAGGCCATCTCAGTAATCAAGTAATAATGCTTTTCATAAAAATAATGAAAAAGAATTCCTTTTTTAATTTTTAAAAAATTTTAATTACATTTTATTTTGCTGTAAAGGTGCTGTACAGAGGGGTTACAGTTACATAAATAAGGTAATGAGTACATTTCTTGTCAAACATTGTTACCCCTCCTTTATTTTTCTCCCACTATCCCTTACCCCATTTCTTCCCCTCGACTTCCTTAAGTTGTAAAGTTCATTTCCAACATAGTGTCTTATGAATATCATTGTTGTATTGGGACCCCTTTTGTCTCTGTATCACCATTTTGTGATTTCTCTTCCTTTCCCCCAAACAGGTAAGTGTATCTACAAGACTCAGGGTACCAGAATCAATAACAGTGACTACCAGGGATAAATTAAAGGGAAAAAGAAATAAAAGAAAAAGAAAGAACCTGATGCAGTACATTGATGACAACAAGGTCAACAGCAAAAAAAGACCTCTTGTTTCCATATCTTTGTGTTCATTTTGATTAACATCATTTTATAAAGTCATATGTATCCTCTGCTAGGACTATCCTAGAAATTTACTAATTATTACAAAATAGGAAAACCATGGAGCCTATGTTTTATGAGGTCTGGCTTATTTCACCTAACATGATTTTTTCCAGGTCTTTCCATTTCCTTATAAATGGGGTGATGTCATTCTTTCTGATGGAAGCATAAAATTCCATTGTATATATATATACCACATTTTCTTGATCCATTCATCTATTGAGGGACAGGGTTAGTTCCATATCTTAAATGTTGTAAATAATGCTGCAATGAACATAGTTTTGCTGGTCACTTTAGTGTGACCTTGTTTGTGATCATTTGGGTAAATGCCCAGGAATAAGATTGCTAGATCCTAGGAAGCTTTATGTTTAGTCTTTTGAGGAACCTCCATACTGCTTTCCAGAGTGGTTGAACCACCTTACATTCTTACCAACAGTGTAGTAGCATTTCCTTTTGGCCACATCCCCACCAGTATCTGCTGGCTATACACATGAAGAAAACTGAAGTTAGATCCTTATGTATCACCCTGCACCAGAATCAACTCCAATTGGATCAAAGACCTGGAGGTAAGACCAAAAACCTGAAAATATTACAGGAAGGGATAGGGGATATGCTAGGGCTCATTGGCACAGGTGGAATAATAAAGATCTAGAAACACAACAAATCAATAAATGGATAAATGTGATTGTATTAAGCTGCAGAGCTTCTGCATGGCAAAGGACATAGCTAGCAAGATAAATAGAAAGCCCACACATTTGGAGAAGCTCATCACTAGCTATACAACAGAAAAGGGCATCATATCTACAATATACCTAGAGCTCAAAAAATTAAATCACCCAACAACAAATACTCAAAGAAACAACTACCTCATTAACTAGTGGGCTAAAGGCTTAAAGAGAAACTTCTCTGAAGAGAAAATAAGAATGGCCAATAGACACATGAAGAAATGCTCAACTTCCCTGGCCATAAAAGAAATGAGAATCAAAATTGAGATTCTACCTCACCTCACTCCAGTTAGAATAGCCATTATCAAGAAAACAAATAATAATGAAAGAATTCTTGAACAGAATAGGGCACCAATATAGCCACACATGTCCAGATTAGTTGGAGTTGTACATAGTAAATATAGGCCACCATAGTTGGATGGGATCCCATCCAAATTGCCATTTGGAAAGCTGGATTTCGCTTCTTTTAATGTATTATTTCTTGGAAACTAGACTTGATAATAATTGTTAAATGTGAAGGAAAGCACACAATCATACCTTGACAAAACTATTTAAAAGTGTGATTCTAAAAGCTGGTGGCCTTGGTAGTAATAGATCAGTGGTAGACCAGTTGTCTAGCATGTAGAAGACCCTATATTCAAACTCTAATATTCTGTTTATAGAAAGAACAAAACAAAGTTTGATTACAAAGCTCCAGGGATATATTCAATCCTATTGTGTTTCTCTACTCTTCACAAGAATCTAATCATTGAGGTTCTGCATTTGAACTTTGCCTGCTTCCACTCCAACCTTTATCCTTTCCCAGCTGCCTTACTGCTCAGTACATTGAGAAACTGCAGTTGGATAAAGAGAATTACTTCCATCTACAGTGCTGTCTATTCTAATAGAAATCCTGCTGTGTATCTCCTATCCATTCTGCTTCCTTACAAGCCTGCATCTAAGATGACATGCCACCACTCCATACTCTACTTGTAGATTGGCTGCTATCCCTCCCCAACCCCATTTGTTCACAAACTCTGTATCTGTAGTTCTCCACTCTCCTACATTATCTATTTTTTCCTTAAGAGAAGGATCATTCCCATCTGTTCATAAACACACTGAACTACTTCCCACTGAGAAAAGAAATAGGAAGAAAAAAAAAGCAAAAAAATGAGCTCCTTTGTCCTTATATCTCCCTCCAGCTGTTCTTTCATGTATTTTTCTTCATTTTACATTAAGACTTTTCCAAAGTTATCCCCGGTCTCTCTCTCTTTTATTCCCTCTGGATTCTCCTTCCATCAGGCATTCACTATAGTCATTCTTCTCCAGTCATCCCAACATTCCATCACTCATTTCTTGGACCACATGCTTTATTTAGCCTTTCCTCTTTCTTTCTTTCTTTCTTTCTTTCTTTCTTTCTTTCTTTCTTTCTTTCTTTCTTTCTTTCTTTCTTTCTTTCTTTCTTTCTTTCTTTCTTTCTTTCTTTCTTTCTTTCTTTCTTTCCTCCTCCTCCTCCTCCTTCTCCTTCTCCTTCTTCTTCATACTGAGATTTAAACTCCAGAGCTTTATGCTTGTTAAGAAGATGTTCTACCATTTTGCCCATGCCTCCAACCTTGTTTTTGCTGGTTATTTTTGAAATAGGCTCTCACCTCCTGAGCTGCAATCCACATAGTTTTAGGCTTTCCATCATTGCTGGGGTCACCTGTGTGCACCGTGGTGTCCAGATTCCCTCTGTGGTGATGGAGTAATGTGCACTTTTCTACCAGGAGTTGATCTAAACGCACTCTCCTCTAGTCTCCAGCCTCTCAAATAGATGAGATTACATCTAATCTTACCCATCAGAGTCATCAGTTCTGCATTTGGTTTATATGTTAATATTTCTCTGCCCTTCCTTATACCTTCAAAATTACTCCTTCTCATTCATCTTTATGAAGTTCCTTAATGTCTCTTCTGTACAACATAGCAGTGTCCTGGCTCAATGTTATACCTCTGGTCTCTATTTTGTATTTATTCTCAAGAGGCCCCAGGCTGGCCTGCAGTTTTAAACCATTAGGCAAATGGCTTCAAAATTTAGTGTCAGGTCTGACTTTCTCCCTCCACTCCAAGTTCATATATATGGTTCCCTATTCTTCATTCCCATTTGGGCATCAAATAGTTCTCGGAAACATACTAAATTTTTGCTACTGCTCCAGATTCTCAAATTCTGTTACAGGGTACTTGTATGTGCTGGGAACTCTTTTTCAGGTATTCACTTGCCACTTTGCTTTTTTCTGTTCTTGGTGTCTGAGCCTGTTGCCCCATGCATGGGTAAATTCCTTTCTTTTTTGTATCTCTTTGTGGTCCTGACATCAAATTGTATGTTTGTTTCTTTACTTCTGTCTCTCTAAGTTTAAGTTTCATAACAAGACTTTCCCCCCCACACACACACATTTAGTTCATCATCACATTAGAATGTCTATGGATATCCTGATCCAATGTAGATTCTCAATATAAGAATGCATGAATTAATGCATTAAAAATCAAGTTCCGGTGTCAAAATTTTATCTCATTTTGGCTCCATTAATTCTGGTCTTAGATACATAAGAGGAGGAAAGGAAGATGGAAAGAAGGAAAGGAGGCAAGAAAGGAGGGAAGTAAGGAGACAGAAAGGAAGAAAGGAAAGCAGGACGGAAGAAGGGAGGGAGGGAGTGGAAGGAAGGAAGGAAGGAACAAACGAACGAAGGAACAAAGGATGACAAGAAGCAAGGCAAGAAGATTAAATGAGAGAAATGAAATTGCATGAATTAAAGTACTTATTATTCATTTCCAGGAACTCTGGGTAAGGATGCAGAGTTCTTTTTATTAGTTCTGTAATTAACAGATGATTACACATGTTTTGGTCCTAGTTCTGCATATTTCATTAATAAAGTAGTTAGAAGAAGTACCCAGGAACTTCTGTTCTGAAATTCTATGAGACACATTGCCTACTAACTCTGATTTACAAAGACATCCTATCTATAAATAAGGTTGTTAGGACAGCTTAAGACGACAGGGATTGTAATACTAAAATACACATCTTTCACATAGTAACAAAAAATAGGCACTATCTATTGGCCATTTACTCCATGCATGGTATTGTCTTTAGGGCTTTTACATACCATGTGTCATGTAATTGTCACAAGTTTATGAGAAAACTACTTTAACCCCTATTCAACAGATACAGAAAAGGCTTAGAAGTTTGAGTAGTTTGCCTAAGGCCATATGAAGCAATCTGTAGGCTGGGATTCAAGTTTGTGTCAGTGGGCCTCCTAGATTTCCATCTAAATTAGAGAGTGAAATAAAGAGACAAAGAGAAAGAGACAGACAACAAGAGACAGAGAGACTAAATATAGAGTGAGAATAAGACATAGAAGAGCTAAAGAAGATCAAGTGATAGGAAAATCAAGGAGAGAGAGACCAAGAGATGGAGACTGAAACAAGGATTGATTGGCTTACACCATACCAGCAAAGCAGGTGTCTCAGCCTGTCTGAGACAATGGATAAAAATCACTTCTGAACTATCTTCTCTCTTCTTAAGGTTAGGGGCATGCTGCATCTTATTATTTTCTAATATTTTTATCTTGATTACATATATATATAGAGAGATGGTATACAATGTATATATATAATATGTGCTAATGTGCATGCTTATGTATGTACATATATGTGTGTATATATATATATATGTATATATATATATATCAGCTAAGCCCTGATTGTATAAGACTATTATATTTCTGGGCTCATTTTTAAATATCGTATTTAATCCTTAGTAGACAGCACTCTGTGGGAAGATGGCCAATCCTGTCTTTCTCTGTTCTTCACATCTGGATACTGACAAAAGCGGAATTTGGCAAACAAAAAAAAATCCTTTAAACAAATATCACAGCTCTTTGAAGTGGATAAAATTATGAGATGATATTGCACACACTTGCAAAGCAAATCTTTACTCAGTCCTTAAGATTGTGTTTATTAAGCTCCTTCTATATATCATCATTCTGAAACAATCTTAGTAATTGATCACCTAAATGCTGGCTGCTTTCTCTTGCAATAAGTAGTTTGCTGGGATGTTTGTGTGTGTGTGTGTGTTCGATTATCGATAGAAACTATCCAAAGTTCCATGTCTCTATTTGCTGATTGAGATGCCAGCCTAAAAGGACTCCACTTTCCCCTTCTAGACATATTACCCATGTTGAAGCAGCAGAGAGAAAAATCAACCCCATGAAATCTGTACTGAGACCAACATCATTTGCTGGTTCTCCATGTATGCTAGTTTCTGAGTTGAATGGCTGCCCCTGGTATCTTGTAAATATGACTGACAACCTGCTAAGTAAGTTAATCTTCCAAATATGATCCCATGGCTGTGGAGGAAAAATAAAAGCTTTCCAGATTGACTTGATGGAAAACTTGCATGCATCTGACCACAAGGTGGCACACAGACGATCCAGAACACTCAACCTCCTAACAGAGCTGCAATTACCAGAGGTATTCCCATAATTATTATTCCTACTGTGATTACGACTCCAATGTTTCAAAGGAACCTCATGAAAATATCACCCTAGCCTTTGGCATAGAATGCGCTCTCGCTTGCATTGTTGTTGTTTTGTTTCTTTCTACCTTCTGGTTGAAAAAAAATCACTAATATTTTGTGCTCCATAAATTTCCAAACCCCAAGAAGGCAAGTGGACCTGAAATTCCTGTTTGTTGTCGTCCAGAATTATGAGTAATAATTTCAGTGATCGTTTAAATTTCTAGAGGAGGATAAACATAACTTTCTGTTGTTTGATGGCTCCAAAGTTGTTTTCTATTCGGTTGAAGCTATCTATGATTATTCTAATGGTTATTTGAAATATAGGAATAAAAGGACTCAGTTTAGAAGAGTTGACTTAGGACAGAAGTTTTATTATTATTGTTGTTATTGTTGCTTACAAATCACTATGTCTCTGGGATCCATGCTAGATATGATATTGGGAAAAGTAACCCAAAATATTTCAATTTGGTTTCTGTTCATTTTATGCTTGCATTTCTTTGAGAATAGATCAACTTTTCCCTCATTTGGGGAACCAGGAGATCATGAATGGCTATTAGTCTAAATGTTAAAATAGCAATTGCTTACTGGGAAGGGGTGAAAGGGCAACCATTTTTCCCCAACAGGAATGAAACACAAACTGGGCAGACAGGATATTCCTTCCCTCCCATCATCCATGTGAGAATGCACCTCTTCATAGCACTCAGAGCAAGTAACAATGTGAATGAACGCGTTTCCCCCATTCCCAAAGATGCGTCTTGCTCTTGGGTGGGAAGCATGACCCTATGTTAAAACTAACCAGCAAAAAGCAGCAGTAAAGGTGTGACCCTGTGGTACTGCACAAGCCTAGCAGGTGTGAGTCCCTGAGTTCAAACTCCAATGCATCCAAACTCACAAAGGCTTAATGTTAGAGAAATACCAGCAGTTCTGGAAACTAAATTCAATTGCTACAATAATTTAATTGCCAGTTTGTTAAGTCTGGGGAGAGCACAATGTATGTCACGTTAGGTATACATTAAAGATGTTTGTCAAAGGTGCAGAAAAGAACTGAAAGTCAGAACTTCTCAGACAAATTTGAACCAACAGGGAATAATTTTGAGAAGAGAAAAAGTGATATGTGTGCTTTCTCCATTCAGGCTGCTCGAAACCTCATAAACGAGGTGGCTAATTGGCAGTGGGACTCTTATTTCTGATGTGGAGAAGGCCCCGATGACAGCCTGGTTCTGGCTCATAGACAGAGGCTTCTGTGCCTACGTGGTGGAGAGAAGAGAAGCCTTGGAGAGCTCTTCTTCCGTCACAGCACTCTGGCCTTTCCTGAGAGCTCTGCACTCCTGATCACCTCCCAAGTGGCATACCACTTAATATGATCACTTTGGGCATTAAGCTTTCACATATGAATTTGACAGAATGTAAATACTCAGACATTATATATACATATGCATATACATGCATATGGATATAGTCTATATATTTTATCTATATCTATCTATCTATATCTATATCTATCTATCTATGAAAAAAACAAAACGCCAGTAAGAGGGGATAAAAGGAGTAGAAGTAGAGTGAAGAAAAATCATGGTATATTTTTTAAAGTTTTATTATTATTACTTTTATTATCATCTTCAAATTTAGCTACAAAGAACCATGACGTCATTAAGGAATATCCATGTCGTACATATTCAAAACTAGCGGGTCAGGGCTGGGAAGGTGGCTCGGTGGTAGAGCGCTTGCCTTGCATGCCTGAGGCCCTGGGTTCGATTCCTCAGCACCACATAAGCAAAAAAAGAAAAAAATCCGGAAGTGGCGCTGTGGCTCAAGTGGTAGAGCTCTAGCCTTGAGCTGAAGAGCTGAGGGACAGCACCCAGGCCCAGAGTTCAGGCCCTGCGACCGGACCCCCCCCTCCAAAAAAAAACTAGTGGGTCAGAGAGGTAAAGTCTTTCCTCCCAAAACTCACAGCCCAGTAGTGGCAGAACTGAGATGGAAATCTCTTGGAAGTAGGAACAATACATTTAGAAACATGGCCTCAGACTTCCATTACCACCTCAAGATGAAATCATGGATGTGTTGAAACAACTCTTTTGTGATTATTCATGAAAAATTTCTCTCCTATAGCTAATTATGTTTCTGATTTCAAATTGCTCAGAAGCATGCTATCATAAATACATATGAAAGGAAATGAGAATACTGATTTGGTGAGCAATTCCTACCTGCTAAATAGTTGTATGTGTGTATGTATGTAGACATACGCAAGTGTGGGCAGAAAAATCTTATGTAGTACACATGATTCACTCGTATTAAGGTATGGGTATTTATTCTCTCTAATACCTAAGGAAGTTTAGTGGCTGTTGTTCAGGGTATTAAAAGATGAAGCCCTTAGAGGTGTCTAGGCCATAAGGGTTCAACTCTCTTCATGAATGGATTAATGCTATTACGATGGGAATAGAACCATACAGTGGTGACTTTGCTCCTCTTTGCACTATCTGCCTGCCTCTCTCTCTTTCTCCCCCTCCCTCCCCCCCTCTCTCATCCTCTCTAGTTCCTCTAATATCTGCTATAGGAAGCTGTAGCTATGAGGCCTTCATCAGATGCTAAGTCCTTGGTCCCAATTGTCCCAGTTTCTAGAACCATTTCTACTTCTCTTAATTATATATGCATTATAAATTTTCCAGTCCCTGCTATTGTGCCCTAGTACTACTGGAAAGACTAAAACAGCCCACAAGATAAATATTGTCAGGAAGAAGCTGAGTGATAGCTAAAATTTTTTTTTCAAGTCTACACACCTGTTGAGTTATGCAATAGGAATTTGAATCCATTTTTGGCAGATTTTGTCTTTTGTTTTTGTAGGTCCTAGGGCTTGAACTTGGTGCTAGACATCAGCCTCTTTTGTTCAAGGCTAGCGCTCTACCACTTGAGCCACATTTCTCCAGCTTTTTCTGTGATTAATTGGAGATAAGAGTCTCATGGACTTTCCTGTCTGGGCTGACTTCAAACTATGATCCTCAAACTCAGCCTCCTGAGTAGCTAGGATTACAGGCATGAGCCACCAGCATATAGCTAAGTCAGATTTAAGTAGGATATTCCTAAGAAAAATACACTCCTACTAAAACGTGTGATGCAATAGAGAAAACAAACTGTCCCTATCTCAGGTGCATTTGCTAACATTCTTTCCAGTGCACAAAGTATAGTTTGAATTCTCCCAGGTTTATTCTAGGCTTATTTAGTAGCAAAAAGGTCTGTTAGACTCTTCTCTCCAATGAACCACTCAAAAAGCCAGATGTGGCTCTGTGGCTCAGGATTAGGCTGAAAAAGTGAAAAGAGAGCACTCTGAGTTCAACCCCTATATTTGCACAAAAACAAAAGCAAACAACAAAAAACTCAGGGCTTTGAGCATGCCTTGCGAGATTTTTGGAAGAATAGTCCCAAGTCTGTGGTGGCTGAGACTCAGAATATGTTCAGAATATGTTGCCTATTCAGTTAAAAAGAAGTCACCTAGAGAGTTTCCTATGTTTGGATCCTAGCTTCCAACTCCAAGATAAGAAATGCCGATGTTCCAAATAAGAATGGAGGTTGGTTGAGTTGTATTTAAGGTCTCAGCAAATATCCTGTGTTGATGTAGGTTTGTTGAGGCAATTTAAACAGGTTTTGTTGTTGTTGTTGTTGTTTTGAGGGGGGTTTATTTTTATTTTCTGAGCTGTACAATGCTTGCTTTGTCCCAGGCTTCTGTGCGTTCAGGTCATTAGCTATAGCACAAGCCCCATTAACAGGCAGAATTTATGGAATTCTGTTTCAGGGAATGAAGAAGATCAAGAGCAGCCCCCAGCAAGCCTGGTCAATCCTGTTATCAAGCTCACTCAAAGCCAAGTGTCTTGGGGGTATTTTCAAGCCCCAAAGAAATACCTTTGTGTTTATTTTACACTCACAGTGACATTTCCTCAACTCCCCAGAAAATATGTCGTGTTCACAGTGATCAACTCCAGCAAAATGCCATGGGGTACAAGTAGGACACAAGCTGAACACCTACTTTTCTTACCAGCCTGTTGTCTAGGTAATTCTCCTCTGGTATACTGCTCCTTGTGTCCATTAGAAAATGCATTAGATTTCACTAATGAAATGAAACTCTGGAGATATGCCATCTGCAGACACAACTCTCCCTGATTTCCATTCTCTCTTTGATTTGACTTCTCACAGCATGGCTATGAGGGTGCTGGCGATGAATCTGAGGTGTGGACGAGGAGAGATTGAAGAGGAAGAGTGAAAAGATACATGCCCACTATGCCAATGCTAGAAAGGTCTATAAAGACCACACCAATAGAAATCTTCTGACATCTGACATTGCTGACAGCCATCTCAAATGTAAGCACCACCCACCCCCAGCCACCATGAAACCAATCTAACAGAAAATATGTCCAGGGAAAAATAGCTGCATTTACAAACAAAATATTGTTGTTCCAAGGAGGAACTTGTGAATCAGGAAACAGCAGACAATTGGACACCAAAAGAAAAGGGAATTTCAGGTTTCCACCTTACTAGGTCGTATCTAGCTGAATAAGGCTAAGTGAGGCTAAGCTATCTGTGTGCTTAGTACCCTGGCGTCAAGGGAACACAGTCTTTCCTCTTTCTCTCTCCTGCCCCCGTTAGCCTCCCCCTGCTCCTCTCTCTCTTCCTGTCTTCTCTTTCTCCCTCTCTCCCTTCTCTCCCATTTTCTCTCTCTTCTCCATCTTTCTGTCCACCTCCTCCTTCCCTACTCTTCTTTTCTCTTTCCCTTTCTCTTTCCCCCTCCCCCATCCTCCTTCCACTCCATCCCTCCCCCTCCCTCACGCCTCTCCCCTTTGTCCCCCTCCTGACTGTCTTCCCCACCCCATCTCCCTCTCTCCTTGGATTTATTCCTTACTCTAGGACTCTGTTCACAGACCATAGCACCCAGTGGAGCAGTGCTGGATTACAATTTATTGTTCAATCTAATTAACTCCTATAAACAGTTGCCATTTTTAGGGGGGAAATAGCTTGTATAAGAAAATCATATCCAACTTACTGAACAGGTTGACAGAGCATTTACAACTATAAATACTATTTTGCACAAAAAGTTATTGTGATGCTGACAGACGCAGCTAATGTGTTATTTTAAATGCAATCATTTGACATACTGTCCAAAGCCCATAGAAGTAGTTCATTGTGCTGTCTTTGGAGGCAATATTCAGATTCTCAGCAAATAGTGTTTACACTCCTGGAGATATAGATACATGCACACATTTTTAACATCTTGTTAAGATCTTTATTTCAGCAACTCATTGGAAGTTTCAAAGTGTGTTACAAAATCGATGCAGAAAATTAGACCTCAATAGCACATGTGAATGCTAATTCTGCATTATGTTCTGCTTAGAAACGCATAGCACAATAGAACTATTTGGTTGGGCATTGATGACCCCATTCTGATATCACAGAGACCTGATGGACAGGCTGAGCCCACAGAACAGTAAAACAAAACTGGACGTGAATGATACCAACCAAAAAAAGGTGAAGCAAAGTATTTCTAATGCTTTTCAACCTTCAGTCAATTAATTTCTGCCACAGAATTCAAATCTGCAGTGTGTATGTGTGTGTGAAATCAAAAAAATGGAATTTGCATTCCTGAAAGATACAGAAAAAAATGTACAGTAGTTAGACTCTGCTATTAAAACTTGTGACTTGAACTAATCGCTCATTCTTGAATTAATTCAAAAGTAGCTATATGGCTTTATACAACAGAAAGAAGCAAGGGCAAAGGAAGGAAGGAAGAAAAGAAGGAAGGGAAGGAGGAGGGAGGAATGAAGGGAGGGAGGAAAAGGAGAGAAGGAAAGAGGGAGAGAGAGAAGAAAAGAAAACCCTATACCTACCTTATTTTGCTTTTCTTAGTAATCATGGACTGTGTGATTTAGTTCAGTTTATTTATAAGTCTTAAGTGAAGAGAAAGTTGGGGGAGAGAAGAAGAAGGAAAAGGAATTTCCAGATTAAACAAAAACTGCATATCTGTGAAAACATTAATCAAAAATATAAAGATGTGGCATGTACATAGTGACAGCTTGGGACCACTAAAAAACACACAAATAATTTAAGTGTAGTTGATAGTTCTTCATTTTATAAAGCTGACTGTTCACTCCTAGGTGATCTAGGTGATTGGGTTTGTGCTGAAAACAATCAAAGTTTAACATCTTTGTGTAACCTTGTAGTAAAGCATACATGCTGATCTTATATCCTAACATTTTTGCACTCTTAAGATTCAGATTTCTCACTTACTGTAGACTAGAATCGCCCCAGCTGTATTATGTTTCACAAAAGCATCCATTTCAATGATTGTTTGAGATTCAGAGTTTCCTAAAAATTCACATCTCAAGTCATGTATGTGGTGCACAATGATCAAGAGCACAATAAACACTATCAGAGCATATTAAATGCCTCCTGCCCTTCCACCCCCTCCCCTTTAATAGAGCCTCTGCCTCATAGACCACAGGCTACCATGCTGTCTCTTAGGAAACAGCCTAGCAAAGTTTTCCATCAGTGGGGCTAGATGCTTCAGCCCCTCCCTGTGATTCTGTGATTTTTGTGCTCAGGCAGGCCCTTGACAGAGAACTTACAAGTGGTTGTGTTATTTTCACTCTCCCCCTGGTTGAGGGTCAACCAAATCATAGAACGGAGAGATACTGTTCTAAATAATGATGTCAACTGGTCTTCTGCCAGGTACATCAAAGAACAGCAATAACAAACTAGCTTCTAGCTCTCACTGAGCATGGCTGAGCAAAGGGCAATGGAAGAAATGTATGAATTGATGACCAGGTCCATCTTACCACCACTCTCTCTAACTGATGAAGTCAAGGTGCTGTGAAAGGCAAACAGTTTGACTGGAACTAACCCATAGGTCTCATGGTCCAGGTCTCAGCCTTCTGACACCAAGCACATGCTTACCTTGTGTATCTGGGTCGGGAGAGATGATGCCTTTCATCAGGTGTCACTTATGTTTGTTATCATTTTTTTAATAGAGGTAAAAACTTATTCATCATTCTCCCTTACCCATCTCTCCATTTTCACCCATCCCCTCTTGCTTTTATTTATTTATTTATTTTTACTCATTTTACCGGATAAATAAGAACCAACCGTAGACATCAACATAGGCGATCCTGAGAAGGATTTTTATCTCCAATGATCATGCTTCTTCCTAGCATCCGAGGATAATGTTTTCTATGAAAACCCAGATTTGAAGAGTAGCCAAGGATGGAATCTTTAGACGATCTCTTCCTACCGTAGTTTAACAGGCTGTACAGACAATCACCGTCACAAGATATGGCTTTAATCTTTGGGGGGAGGGGAGGGGGGATCCATGCTTGCACAGTGGCTGGAAGAGGAAAACGACCAAGTGGGGGTCCCCCTTTGGCTCGCCAGGCCAAGAGGCGGCTACATCTGGGATTCCACCGAGATTCGATTTAAAGTCAGGACGGCTTTTTGATAGGGCGTTTCCTTGTACTCATCCAGGGGGTCGTAACCAGTGCTGTCCTCCTCCGGGTTTTCACCCTTGCTGTTCACGACCGCCACGGCACTGAACGACCTTCGCCTGACCTTGGGGTCGGAGGCGCAGGGCCCTGGCGGGGGCGAGGCCACGGGGGTCGGCTTCTGCACGTGGAGCAGCTGCTGGTCTTTCCAGTCCAGCTGCTTGGCGCTGCAGAACGGAGCGTAGACCTCCACGCTGCCCTCGAACTGCAGGCAGTTTACCTTGTAGTACTTCCTCTTCACCTCCAGGACGTCGTGGAAGCGGTGTCCCCAGAGGATCTCCCGGGGCACGTAGGAGCTGCGGGACTGGTGCGAGGTGCCCGTGGAGTCGCCCGTGTAGATGAAGGTCACCAGGATCTCGAAGTTGTCCTTGGCCACCGCTTTGCGATCCAGGGCGTACAGGGGACTGTCGTGGTCGATCTCGTGGACGATGGTGACCGGGGTGACCAGGATGATCTGGTCGTTGACCAGCTTGAGGTCCCTGAAGGCCATGGTCATGCGCCCTTCGCTGTCCTCCGCGTAGCGCAGCAGCTGCGCCCGCACCGTCCCCTCCACCACGTGGTTGGGGCGGAAGTCCCCGATGCGCCACATGAGGCACAGCTTCCCATCCCGCATGCCGATGAGGGCGAAGTAGCTGAATCGGATGGTCTGGGCTCTCTTGCGCGCCGTGGCCATCTTCGCCAGGGCGGCGCCGATGATGAAGGTGTTGATGATGCAACTCAGGATGGACTGGAGGATGACGGTGAGCACGGCCACCGAGCACTCCTCGGTGACGCAGCGGTAGCCGTACCCGATGGTGGTCTGCGTCTCCAGGGAGAACAGGAAGGCGGCCGTGAAGGAATGCACGTTGTCCACACACGGCGTGAGGTCCGGGGGGCTGGACAGGTCCCCGTGGTGCCAAGCGATGAGCCAGAAGATGGAGCCGAAGATCAGCCAGGAGAGAACGTAGGACAAGGAGAAGATCACGAACATGTGCCGCCACTTGGTGTCCACCAGGGTGGTGAAGATGTCCACCACGTAGCTGCCCCACTCCCCGAAGATGTGCTTGAAGTACACGTTGCAGCTGCCGTCCTTGTGCAGCAGGCGCCGGCGCGCCCTCCTCTTCTCCACCATCGCCTGCTCCGGGGGGAACCCCGGGTACTTGGAGTCCACGTTGACCACCCGGTAGCTGCTGCCGTAGTAGCTCATTCTTGTTGGTGCCCCGAGGGCATGCAGATGAGTTTGGAGGTGACAAAGAGAGAATTCTAGGCGTGCTGCTGCTCCTTGAGTTTTTTGGTGTTTTGTTTTGTTTCAGTCAAATCCTAAAAATGAAAGAAAACGAAGAAAGTGAAAGGAAGGAAGGGAAGAGGAAGGAAGGAAAGAAGGAAGGAAGGAAGGAAGGAAGGGAGGAAGGGAGGAAGGGAGGAAGGGAGGGAAGGCAAGGGAGGGAAGGCAAGGGAGGGAAGGCAAGGGAGGGGCAGAGGGAGAGAGGGAAGGAGAAAGAAAGAAGGGAGGAAAGGAAGGAAAGAAGGAAGGAAAAGGAAGAAAGGAAGGGAAAGAGGAAAGGAAAGGAAAGAGGAAATGAAGGGATGGAGGGAAGGGAGGAAGGAAAGAAGGAAAGATGGAAAAGGAAGAAAGGAAGGGAAAGAGGCAAGGAAGGGAGGGAGGAAGGGAAGAAAGGAAGACAGGTGAGAAGGAGGGAAGGGAAGGAGGAAAGACAGGGAGAGAGGGAGGGAAGAGGGAAAGATGGAGAAGGGAAGGGAGGAAAGAAGGAAAGAAGGAAAAGAAAGAAGGTAGGAAGGAAAGAAAGAAAGAGGGAAAAGAAAAACAATAGAAACATTAAATACACTTCAGCTTTTAATTTCATCTTTCCAGCAGTTTGCCAAATTGGGAGCAATTTTATGCCATCTAAAATAGCCAAGACTCCTTTTGAACCATAGAAACACTCGGTATTGATTACTCATTTCAGCATAGAATTCAACTCAGTCATTACAGGAACAAAATATGCAATTAGAGAAAATAACATTTTGATATATGCAGAAGGCTCGAGTAAACACAATGATTGCCCCAAATGATGCCTCACTCCTTTCTGACCTGACACAAAACATCTTGCTTTGTTTGCAGAGACTTTTCTCGCATGAGAGCATCTACAAAACAAAGCAATCATTAATATACAGAGGCAAACAAGAATCCAGAGACTTGCCTGGCAATCATATAAGCTTTCCACCTACTTAAGCTCAACAGTTTTCTATAAAGAAGGATGCAATAGTTTCTAGCTTTACGTGCTAACCTGAATGGTACCCATTGGCTGCTGGAATAGGAAACCTCTCACCTGTTGCCTCTTCTTTTCCCCACATAGACTTTTCTTCTTGTGTGTTTCCCCAGACAGAGCAGAAATGACAAGCACATCCCATAAAGATTAGACTCTTAGCTCCACCCTTCCTCTTGGTTGGAAAAAAAAACAAACAGAAGTTAAAAAACAAAAAAACGCTCCCGTGAAGCTTTCAGTAAGGTGTAAAGTTGCTTCTGCTTTGTCTTCTCACATCCATCATCCTTTTAACTTGGACACTGGCAGCTCTTTTCTTTCTCTTTGAATAGGAACACAAAAATTTGCCAAAGTTGCTAATCTTGTTTCACTCTTAAAGGGAGAAAGCAAGGATAGAGTCGGACCCTTCCTCCTTTCAGTGTCTTTCCCCTAAAAATTCAGTCTACAAAAGATCAAAATACGTGTCTTATTGATAGTCTTTATCACATCTGTGGATCTCACAGCTGGATTATGAAAGTTAATGTTAAAAATGTAATGATCAAAGTCATCTTCAGTGACTCCATGCAAAAAAAAAATAGGGTAGCCAATGTGATGGTTCTCTAATGGCTCGAAATTCCCTGTGTCAGGTGAGAGAAGGTGTGTGCAGGTGCAGATAATCTATGAAAAGATTCTTCTATTTGCCACATGGAAAGTACCGTGCAGTATGAAAAAAATCTGCCCCTGACACTGAGAGCTCTCTGAACCAACCAAAGAAATGAATCACTCAAAAATGACCCAGCATCTTCACATCAAAAAAGGGCAGAAAGAGTTAACCTCTGCTCAGTGAGAATCATTTTTCTCCTTCTCCAGGGATCAGGCCCATTGTACAATGAACTCATTGTGCAGTGGGTCCCTTAGAAGGATGGATTGTGCTTGTGACAGAAAGATCCTGTGAAACACTGTGGATTTCTTACTGGCTGTCTGCATCAACCCATTCTCCTACCCATCTTTCAGATCTGTTTGGGGTAATTACCACTTCTTGGTTATCACTTCAGGCGAGCTTTGGGGGAGAAAAATTGTATAATTTCAGGACATGACTCATGGCCACCAAAATTCATCTTGGATGGTGGGAAAAAGTATCTTCATGAATTTGGTCCATAGTATCCACCAGTTATTAGTTACTGAAGCTTTCAATCTGCCTCGTCATTAAGTGATACCCCAAACAGAGGAGAGCGTCATAGTAGCTCTCCTAGGATTTAGTGTTCTCTCAGAATAGGATGTTTAAAGGCAAATATGATTCTGAATTAAAGAACAGTTTTAGAGATTACATTTTTTTGTTTTTGTTAAATGTTTCCAACCCACTTCCTTAAAGGGAAGTGCCCAAAATCGTAAGAGGGGCTGAAAGTGAGCAGGCAGGGTTCATAAATCAAGAGCTACTATGTGACTCTGCTTTTTTTCTGCTGCCAAAAGAGGGGAAAAAATGATTTCATTTGAAATAAGGTTCTGTTGGCATCATTTTGAATTTCATTGGTGCCAACAACTGCTATCCTCAAGCTACTTTTTAAAACACCTTCCAGATTGCACGTCCCAGCGCATTAATTATCGCCTAATACAAGTTACAGTAAGCAAATCTGAGTGTGTGAGAAATATGTGGCTGACTAATGTGATGATTTCAGAGATACATTTGTGATGGTTGTTCTACCTCTTGAGCCACAGCTCCACTTCTGGCTATTTAATGGTTAATTGGAGATTAGAGTCTCCTGGACTTCCCTGCTCAGAATGGCTCTTAGCCCTGATCCTCTTATCTCAGTCTCCTGAGTAGCTAGGATTACAAACTTGACCCACTGGCACCCAGCTAAAAGATACCTTTGTGAGAATTCTGCCCCAAATTCACTGCATCTTCTGTGGCTCTTTATTGTGTCCATTTCAATTTATCAAGACATTAGCATTTAGATTATGATTTAATGCATCTGTCGTGTGACTCTTCAACCTCATAAATGATGCATTTTTAAACACAAATATCTTCTTGTCAAATGGTATTTCTTAGTTTATATTAACTAGTAGGATCTGCTTAAAGGGTCTCCACTTTCTATGTCTTTGTCTGAAGTCAGCAATCAAACTCTTACTAATAACAATGGATCATAAACCCAATAGGAAACAGTTTCATCAAAAACAAGCATTCAGACTCATAAATGTTGAAGCATTGTCACCTTAGAAGCATTTTGCCACATCCTCTCACAACCAGCTATTTACCAGGAGAGCTGCTCTTGGAGCTAGGTCTTCATAGGTCAACTTTCCCTTAGCATCCGCAGAGCACAAAAGTTAAAAAACTTGTGTCACATTAATGACAGGTGTCAGTCTCATCTTTAGCATTTACTCAACCTAAATATATTCATTATTTACCATGTATAATTTGAGAGTTACCATTAAAATGGTAGAAAGTATTTATTTTTGGCGAAACCCAAGGGTTTATGTTTCTCATGTTTGAGGTTAACAAGTCCCTTCTTCTTTAGCGCATGAAGAACCCAAGATAGCTGACAGCTGAGTCACCACCAACCAAATTACTCTCCTGGCAACTATGAGATCAGATAAGTTTGGGTGGAAATGTGATCCTTGATGGGGTGGAGAGAAGAAAAGGTGGCCTCATTCCTCAGGCAAGCCATTGTCCTGCTAAAACAGGCTTCTCTGAGGAGCAGTAAGGCTGAACACAGTGAGGATATGGGTGGGATTCCATTGGTGAGGAGGAATAAGAGAGGGCTGTTGAGTGAGGCAGGACAAACTGAAAAAAAAAAAAAACAACAAAAAAAGTTCATCTATTTTATGATTTTTGTCCAAAACCCGTTCTGCCACTTCTTGCTTTGGAAAGATGCCTAAGGATTATCTTTCTGAGAACTCTTCATCAGCCATACCTAAAACTCTTAGGGGGAGCTTCTCATCCAGCCACTGAATTTCTGTTTCTCACAGTCTAGGAGATGGAGTCCTACAGTTCTACTATCTCTACTCCCCACCCCCAGCCTACCCCGACCTGTTCCAACTCCCAGCTTAAGCTGCTTCAGCTTGTGGACAAATCCATGGAATGCTCACGTTTCCTTCTCAGCTGCTCTCCTCCATCCTGCAGCTTGCTTGTCTTCCCTTTCTCTTCCTTGCTTCCTCCAAACCTTACTGTCTAGATGCAAGCATCTGTCTCCCTGACATCGGATTTGGACTCTTCTCCCCCCCCCCTCCCATATAATTACAGGTAGATACATAAGCTGCTTTTCCTGAAAAGGCCTAAACAACTTAGAAGGGCCCACTAATTAACTGGATAAAAAACTTGGAATTATTTCTGCCTTCATTTTTTTGTATCTTGGGCACTTAGTCTCTGAACCCTTTTTTTTTTCCTTTTTGTGTTCTGTTCTCTCCTGTGGTCATTTTGCCAGCCTTTGGTCACCATTTTAGAATCCAGGAAGGGTGAGATAAAGTTACTTCCTGCAAGGCTTCTGGGACTTTCTTATGGTAAGAAACCAGAAGTGACGCAGTGGCTCAAGTGGTAGAGTGCTAGCCTTGAGCTGAATAGCTCAGGGACAGCGCCCAGGCCCAGAGTTCAAGCCCTAAAACCCACTAAAAAAAAACAAACAAAAACAAAAACAAGAAAAAACAAGGCCAAGTCTGATCAATGAGCAAGCACCCTTTTGTGACCACCACCCAACCACTGGGATGCCTGTAACTGTGACTGTTTAATAATTCTCCTTCACTCCCCATTGTTTATTTAAATCTAAAGCAAAAGCAAAGATCTGGGTCAAGAAAATGAACTTTAACCTCTTACTGTAAGGTCCGCTCCTGGATGGCGAGCAGACTCCACCCTCCTCACAGCAAAGTCTCCACCCAGTACCTGCGTTACCTAGGCAACTAGGACACCTGGAAGAGGTCACATCTGCATCCACTGAGGTCACATCTGAATTTGATGTGGCCACACCTTTCTCCTCCCATACCCTAGCTAAGGCCTAGCCCAGGCCCAGACACCCTCTCTCTGCTATTTTCTAGCTCTTTTCTAGCTCTTTTCTCTCTCCTCTCTCTTTCCCAGGCCTTTCCCAGCCA